CATTTGTAAAATTTGAAATTTTAACAGAATTACACGATTTGCTTGTTGACTGGCGAAAAAATAATAGAAGACGAACACATTCGCACAGTTGTTCAGTGAAAATGCTATAAACAAGTGGATAGACAGGACACGTGTTAGACGTTCACTAACAGTATCATTTGCTGCACGCCGAAGAAAACGAGCCGCAAAAAATTAGTCAGTTGGAGCATGGAGAGGGGCGCATAGCGATATGTAGAGCAACCGGCTAAATGAGTTCCTTTTTTTAACCAGCTTCACTTTGGGGCAGTCGAGAGACCAATTTACTGACGTCCCTTAACTCTGAAAGCTGAGAGACCATTTTACTGGCGAGACAACTAGCTCCTCGGCAAATCGTTCATATTTTCTGATTGTAGGCTGGTTTCTGCGAATCGAACCTGCCAACTGCGTATTTCTAAGCAATATTAGGAGGCATAGGAATTACAAGTTAAATCCTCGAAAGAGCGAGTCAGTGACAGTCTTGTCAGTGGGTGACTGTTACTGCTATCGCTCAGACTACTCTCGAGTGTTCTCGTCTTTGACAGAGGGTGGATAACGAAGAGGGTTTTGGTGATATTTTAAGAAGCAAACAAAGTAGATGGAGTTTCGAGCGTGAAGCGGGATTTAGGAGGCACTGTTCGTATTGCTTAAGCTCTAATTTAATTTGTTAACAATACGCCTTACTCAAAAAATGTTAAAAACACTTCCCTTCAAAATTTCCAGAAACGTCCTCAGTTTGAGAAACGGTAATTGTAGCGCTAAATGGAGCTTTTTGACTGTGTTAGATAGTGGAGCAGTGAAAACTGATCAGATACAGGTGATCGAGACGATCAACCAAGGCACGTACGGTGTGGTGTTTTCCGTACGTGATGTTGTCACCAAGGTGTACGGCGTGATCAAGGTGGCGAAGTCGATGGCCAATGAAGCAGGCAACGTTTCAGCCGAATGGGAAGGCTTTATCCTTGAAACAATGTTCAAGAGGGTGTGTTGTTCTGCCAATGATACGAGTCTGTAAAATCTGGAGAGGGCAGCTAAGCATACATCTTGTGGCCCTACTGGAGAATGGCCAGTGTTACACGTCTTGCTTCGGGCTTTTCGTCAATGGAAAAGAAGCTTTTCCTGCAGCTTTTCGCTCTTCCACGAATGTGCCAAAGACTGAAAGTTTGCTCGAATATTACTCCAGTTACAAAATGGATTGTGAATAGGTCGAACTGGGGCAAGAGAAGCAGGCAATTTTTGAAAGCTCTTCGGTCTTAAAGGTCTTCCAGAGTCTTTCATGTAGGTACCTGCTTATCGTATAAGGAGGGGACTGTTTAACTAATAGAAAAGCCACTTCCAAGATAGTTAAGACCGCCCACAATAAGCATTAGGACTTGATATTACGTGATATTGCTGGGATGTCTCCATGCGTCACGTGTAGCCAAACTATTCCCCGTGATCCTGGACTATTAAGAATCTCACTTCCCGAGCAGTGTAGCCGCTCTAGAAGACAAGTTCTCAGTTGCTTAAGAAAAGTATCTGTTTGAAAACAGGCAACTGTTTTTAAAAATTTAAAAAGAACTCATATTTTCAAGTCCGAATCAGCATCTATTGTTCGATTACTGGACAAAGGTATGCTTGCGGACCAACATGGCGAAGGCATGGAATTTGTTGTGCTGGAAAAGGCGGAAATACCTGTTAAGGATTATGTTTTTGAGGTACACATTTACTAACATATTTTTGTCTTCAGGCAAATTCATTTTAATGATGAATTCATTTCATTTCACCAAACCGAAATCACTGTGGCTCGAAATCGTAATGACAGTGGATTTTGAAATTTTCAGTCCAGTGATAAGTGTCATTTTCGGTATTTCTAGTGATTGCGAGCACTAGAGAATTTGTTGGCAGTCAGAGCTCCAAATACTAATTTCTAAGATCAGGAATTGTGTTTCATTTTTTTTTGTGGAATTTATAGACAGGGCTTGTGGACATATAGTTCCAGGATTTCGCGACCATACTTCTGGTTTTTGACCACCCAGGGCCTGTATAAGGATCCTTCTCAATAATTTCGAATTTAATTTTCGTTTTCCGGGACTATGTTGAAGAGTTCAGCTTCAAATGTTTTCGAAAAACAAGACTGGATGTTCATTTCCCACATTTTTCTCGTATTCATGAATTTAGAACCAACAAAAAGCAGTGTAGATAGTTGCGCCTTATATTTCATTCATGGGTTGGAAGTAAATTTCCGACGCATCGCAGCGCTGAAAAAGCGAATTGTAGCTATAAAAACGCTGAAAGTTAATGGATAATGATGAAGCCAATAACTTTCTATATTGTAAATTGCAGCATCACATACCCAGTACGTGGAAGACAGTGCCATCGACTGTTGGTGGTGAGCGGGTGTTACTTGCAGGCGCCCC